CGTTCTCTTTTTCAGGGTTTGATAAAAGGTGATCCCCCGCCCCCACACTTTCTTTCCCTTTTTTTTCACCACCCAGTTTAGACTGCAAAAATATTGATAAATCTTCATGATGTTTCGAAGTGTAACGAATTTCATTTTCAGACTCATGACAAATATACTCACAGAATGACGCTATTGTGTAACGTCTGTGAACTGAGTTACAATTATGTAAATGACATTATGACAGTACATGATCTATCCACTTCACTGTTCAAAATAAGTGAACCGTTGTTTGTCTAAAACGCCTACAGTTTGATATTTTACAATGTGGCCGTTAACTGTAACCATAATAATTATATGCGTTGAATCAGTGTCTGTGTTTTAATTTACCAGTAAATACGTCAAAATAAAAAATAGATATTTGTTAAGGGGATATCGTCTCCTTGGTATGCTGACTGATAGCTAGGGATTTTCTCATACGAAAGACATAGATGACATTCTGAATGCACACAGTTGGTAACGAGTAGACGATATCCAGTTAATATTATTACAGTTTTACAAGTGATCTGGTCCGGTCAGTGTCTATTAATACTAGTAGGTCCAGCAAGATAAGATAATATTTATCAGACATCAACTTTACATTTTCTCTCTTTCACACTCGTTACCTTTCAGTCTTGTTTCCTCACACACGGAATACACCAGTGGTTGATCCAGAAGTTCTGATCATGGTGGCTCGACTTCTTGACCGTCTGAAACTTGTTGGCTACCATTTTGGATTAGACTGTCATCTTGCGGTCTTCTCATGAAACAGAAACTCCTTCACGTCGTCAAATATACATTGTCGCATTCACGCGTCCATCAGATACAACCTTTCACACCAGCTGCCAAACACATACTAACTGATTAGACCCTGGTCTAACCTCATAACACTCGTTCTGGGTTTCACGTGCTGGTCTGAGCCCTGCTTGTATTTCTCGTGTTTCTACGAGTAGTATTCACCACATTCTCGTATATTTCTCTGTTATCTCAAGATTTACTCCCCTATTATTGCTTAGAGAATTGCCGTGGGAAAATATCAACATTACAGTTAACATTATAATTCTTTACCTACACGGATTTGACTATTAACAGGTCGCAAACCAAATGTCAACAATTTACACTTAAGGATTGTTAAGTTACAGATTTTAAAACTTGGGCACGACTTTTAGAACCCTCTATATCTAAAGGTTTACCATACCATCATGGGAATAAAAAATTTCAGTCTGGAAGGCAGACTAGTAAGGTAAATCCGAGATAGCCGGTGCAACCTGGTAAGAAGTTCCAACTACAACACGAGTAGCGGCTAAACTAGCCAGATTTAACCTGCAACCGTATGTTGCTAATAGCAACCATTAGATCAAAGACAGGACAAGTGCACCAAGCATATCTCGCACACATATCAACAAGTATTCGTGGCAGATGCCTGCGACGAAATGAAATACACGCAACTACAAGTTTTAGCTGGTGTATTTTGACCGGTGAAACAAAAGACCTCTTTGTTACACGTGCCTTATGCATGTTGTGGGCTTTGAACTCGCACGTGCAAAGAACTGTTGTAGCCGGCCAGTTGGGAGGCTGTAGTAGGGATATTTACATAAAGCCATCTTTGTCGTTGGTTATCGCGCATTTCCTGTGAGATAACATGCAGTCTTATTCCTTGATGTCCTTTGACGATAAGTAGGTGATGACGTGGAACATGCTTCAGGCTCCACCCAAACATGCTTTTGAGAGGAGAGGGGAATTCCTAAAGTCGGGTTGTGGCAGTGTGGAAAGTGCATGTGATAGTCGAGTGTCTGGTTTGTGTTGTGGGCGTTGTGTTGTCTGAACATCTGCTGTTGTTCATCACCACGACGACGATGATAATGATGATAAGCGGCGAAGAGAGAGAGAGAGAGAGAGAGAGAGAGAGAGAGAGAGAGAGAGAGAGAGAGAGAGAAAGAGAGCGGAAGAGAGACAGAGAGGGTAACCACCTAGCAGGACGATGTTCTTCTGACCTGTAAGCTTTCTTGCCAGAATGTACTCATTCCTTTAAGCCCCACCCACCCCATCCCCCACCCTACGTAAGGGGACCATCTTGCCAATCACTGCGCGTATGTTCACTTATTAAAGAGATATTTGAAAGTAGTGATTTGACGTACGGAGTCAGTCTCTAGTTAGAGAGATATTCGAAATTATTGTTTTGACGTGCGGCGTCAGTCTCTAGTTAGAGAGATATTCGAAATTATTTGTTTTGACGAACGGAGTCTAGTTAAATATTTGAAAGTTATGCCTCGACGTACGGAGTCAGTCTCTGGTTAGAGAGATATTTGAAATTATTGTTTCGACGTACAGTCTCTAATTAAATATTTGAAAGTAGTGCCTCGACGTACGGCGTCAGTCTCTAGTTACAGAAGAACTGAAACTAAGTAATACAGCTTGGTTCTAGGAAAGCAGTCTGCTAGCCTAGGTGTGTGTGTGGTTGTGTATTGCATACCAGCCCCCCTCCCCCTCCACAACAGCCCTCATTAGAAACTACGAGTACAGCTCCAAACCACTAGTTTTGGTGCAATTAACATTTCTTAGCAACCTAAATTGGCACAAAGCAACCAGACCACAGTTATAACCGATGTTGCTGGCAGTAGGTTAAACGTTTTCGTTTTGTTTTTCATAAATGGATAGATAGATGGATTGGAAACACACTCTCTCCTTCTCCCCTGCTTTACTCTATCAATTATTCTGCCATCACCACAACCATCCATCCAAACGTTATCGTCATATCTACTAGGAACATGCGCACGGGCACACTCAGGTAAACTTCCGGTACATCCGAAACCGTTACAACACCGGTCGCCGACATGTTCAAGTCGGAAGGGATGATAATAGTAGTGAACCAGGGGCGACGGCACAAGGAAATATTTGGGGCAAAGGGTGTGGCTCAACCCTCTTTTCATTTTCTAGATGGCTGGGAGCGTCGCTCAAATGACTAAAGCCTTTTTTAAGAGCGCAAATGCGGTTAAAAAAATCTGCCATAACGGCCTGTGCCACATTTTCAGTGTAGCAAGGGGTTGGGGGGGGGGGGGAAATTGTCTTTGAGTCTGAGGATTTAGGGCTACATACCTAGTGCTGTCGCCACGGACTGTGCAGGTTAGCATTTTGTGTGTGCTCATGACAGAAAAAAAAAGCCCTAACCATAGCAAAGATTCGAACCTGGCTCATACGCATGAGAGCTGAGCGTTCTTAGCAGTTCGTTTAAGAGTGCAACAATATTTTTTTTACTATTATCATTATTATTATTATTATTATTATTATTATTATTATTATTATTATTATTATTATTATTATTATAAGTTAAATGGCATATACAAATAATAATGCTTTTGAAATTTTGTGAAATAAATACTAAAAAAACAAACAAAAAAAACGCGTGTGTCGTTCAAACCCACAAGTACTCTACAGTGAGCGACCAATAATACACAGTGACTCAAAGTGCCACCATTCGAATGACAACCGGCACAAGTCCCAGAAACTCGGTTATCTTAAATTAGGGCTCCCGACTACAACCGCGACGGCGGCTTTAAAATAACGAAATAATGCGACCCACATGCGGACGAGAATGTTAAGTAACAAATGAACATCTCTAGGCCGTTATTACTAGCTCCGTGCAAATTGTCTAGGGAGAGACTGATTGACTGACTTTCTACCCCACCAGGACATCACACAAGCGATAAACACCCGATGACACAAGTGCCACCATGTGGGTCAGGATCACCGTGGAGAGGTCCCAGAAACCGCATTCAGCCTATAGGCCATATTTATATCCAGGCTATATTGCGCCCCCTGACATAAGACATAGTAGGGCTTCACATAACGAAAAATTTCATCCTAAAAAGGACGGAAAGAAGTTTATAGGAAGAAACATTTTCCCTTAGCCCCGTGGAACAAACGATCGAACAAACTGTATTTTCAAAGGGTTACAAATGGGCACGCAGGCCTGTCTGACATTTATGGAAATTTATGGGAAGAAAATGTTGAGGGGTGTACTGGGGTGCTCCTAGGGGTGCCAGCATCCCCTAGTATCCGGCGCCAATGATAGTGAATGTTGATATGATTTGTTTACCGCCCCAGCATCACATTTGTTCACCCTGATGTTTATCTCCCCTTCCTAATTTTATTCTCAGTTGCATTGAATCACTTCCCCTCGTTTCTGCAGTATCAAGGTCGATATGTTCACACCTGTTTCAATTGTTTGGTTAGATTGTATCTAAACATAACATTTGAGGAAAACATACAGTTAGTTTTATCTTTTGATTTATAATCTGAAGAAATACCACTAACCCCTGTAGATACATTTAAAAAAAATTATAATAAAACAGTGTTGAACATCTTTATTCTTACAAGCATGTCGTAGATAGCGGCTAGCTAAGGATTTCTCCCCCAAAGTCGACGCGCATCTACATGATAGGCGAGAAACCAACAGTCTGTACACAACTAAGCCAGTTCTGTAAAACAGACGTGCATGCAAAAGTTAAGTTCAGGAAAGAAAAGTAAAGTCTACAAGTGGACGAACAACGAGAACTTTCCATCGGCGTTTACAGTCAGTGAGCACAAATTAGTAAGAGAGAAAAAAAAAAAGGGGGGGGGGTGCGAAGCTAACAGGCTAACCCGCTTTGAATTTATTTTCTCAGATTTGTATCATTCTAAAAGATCTAAACATTAAGGAAGATTGGCTAACAAACAGCATCTTGTTTTGGAAAAGAATCTGAAAAAAAAAAGAAAAAAAAGCAGAAGGCATGGTACCAGGAATGAGAGGCAGGGGCTGAGCACCACGTGGATGGAAACAAGATATAAGTGAATCCATGGATATGAAAGTGCAGGAGGCGGGAGAGCTGGCGAGCGAGAGAGTTTCCTTTACGTAGTCCGCGATGAGAACGGCGTTCTGCAAAGGAACGTGCTACATGATGTTGCTGATTAATTTATGTTTGTTTCTTTCTCATTATGTCTAGGAATTCACATCCGCGGGAAAAGAAGCAGCCAGGTCAATGGAGCCGGAGAAAGAAGGACATGTCGGATTGGATTCACACTTTGATGTTGGGGCAATTCTGTGCGAGAAGTATGGCGAGTGGTCGAAGTGGTCTGCCTGCAGCCGAAAGTGTGAGCAGACCCGAGTTCGACAATGCCGAGTGATTGAAGAGTGCGGCAAGAGCTGGGTCAAGGAAAAAAGGACATGCACTAGAGAAAATGGCGCCTGCAGTACTTTGTCTTATAAGGTGAGTAGTAGAAGTGCCTGTTAACAACATCCTGACCTGCACAGTCCATGGTTACAGCATTAGCCATGAGGCCCTGTATCCCCAGGCTCAAAGACTCCAGTGCCTACATCGCAAAAGTGGTAAATCAAGCAGTAGTCGGGAAAAAAAGATAAAATCTACATCTACTTATATCCCACCAGGACATCACACAAGCGATAAATACTGATTGACACAAATTGCCACCACCGTGGAGAGGTCCCAGAAACCGCGTTCAGCCATTAGACCATTTTTATGGCCAGGCTATATTGCGGCCCCTGGCAAGAACCAGAGTAGGGCTTCAAGTAACGAAAAATTGCATCCCACAAAGGGATGACAAGGTGAAAAAATAAAACAAATAATACCTATCTTAGCTCTGATCTCTGAAAGAACAAACGGTAAACATCCCAAGCAATGTTCAGTCTTCCCTCGCTTTACGAGCAAGCTCCTTTCTAACGGGTCGTAAATCGAAACGTCTTTTTGTACACACAAACACACACGCAAATTAATATATGTACTCCCTGTGTCGGTTCCGGGGCCCTATTATAAGGAAAACAAGAATAGATCCACTGCCTACCCAAAAGCATATCGTAAGAATCGACTAATTGGGAGCTTCCTTCGGAGTCGGAGTGCATCTGCCTGAGAGGCAAGGAACCAACAGTCTGCTTACAAATTAGTAAGATCTGTCAAACGGATTCGCACGCAACACTCAGGTTCTGGAACAGGACTGCAGTCTAGAAGTGGACGAACAGCTAGAACTTTCCGCAAGAGTGTACAGATGGTGAATGCGAAGAAGAAGAATATATTTATGTATAATGAGACCCCGCTTCCTTCTAGGCAATAGTTCTGGGATCGTCGCTGGGGCTTTGTGTATCGTTCTTGAAGACAGCTAGCCATTTTGTGGAGAGAGGCTGACCCATGTGGAGCAAAACAAATGTAATGGAGTTGGTCCCCTCAACTTTCACTTAAAGTTTAATTTGCTAATGTTTGCACTTGGCTCATGTTCGCACTGTGGAGCCGCCGTGGTGTAGAGGCTAGACGCTCGCTTGCAAAAAGAATGTCGTGGGTTCAAGTCCCTACGGAGCCGGACTGCTTGAAAAATGATCTTAGCTCCCAGGTCGACCCAGCCTTGAGTGAGTACCAGGTACAAGTCATGGGAAGTAAAGGCGGTCGGCGTGATGCTGACACATCACCCACCAAGTGCCGACTGGTATATAAACTATAGGTCAAGCCCTATGTGCCCAGTACGCCCAAAGGTATGTACAAGAATACTTTACTTTACTGTTACATTTTCCCATTAACTCCATGATCTTCTATTTGGTGTTCTCACACTGTCCCAGTTTTCTAGTCGGCTTCAGTATTCCAGATATTTTATTTCTGACCCTATGGAAACGTACTGTCATTCAAGTAGCGTTCTAATTAAATTCACAAGTATTTATCTACAGTCATGACATAAGAAGAAATAAATAGACAACACACAAGGTAAAGCAATTAAAAGCTTTTGAAATCACCAAGTTATTCGAACCCACTTCATTTAAATGACGATGTAACCCTGTCATAGTGTGCAGTTTAACAGTAGAAGCCTTTACAGATCAGTAGTAGTAGTTGTTGTTACTGTAGTTGTAGCTATAGTTGTAGTAGTAGTAGTTCTGCTGCTACTACTACTGCTGCTGCTACTGCTGCTACTACTGCTGCTACTACTACTACTACTACTAATACTACTACTACTACTACTACTACTACTACTACTACTACTACTACTACTACTACTACTATTACTATACAACTACTACAACTACTAATACTGCTACTACTACTACTACTACTACTACAGTAGTGGCTGTAGTATCAATTGTAGCAGTAGTAGTAGTGGTAGTAGTTATTGTTGTTCTTGTTGTTGTTCTTGCATTAGTAAAAGAAACAAGGGAGGAGCAAGATAAAGAGATTATGACAAAAGAGAAGGAGGAGGAGTAGTAGTAGTAGTAGTAGTAGTAGTAGTAGTAGTAGTAGTAGTAGTAGTAGTAGTAGTAGTAGTAGTAGTAGTAGTAGTAGTAGTAGTAGAAGAAGAAGAAGAAGAAGAAGAAGAAGAAGAAGAAGAAGAAGAAGAAGAAGAAAAAGAAGAAAAAGAAGAAAAAGAAGAAGAAGAAGAAGAAGAAGAAGAAGAAGAAGAAGAAGAAGAAGAAGACTTAGAAGAAAAAAAAAAGAAGAAGAAAAATAATATAAAAAAAGAAGAATAAAAAGAAAGAAGAAGATAGAAGAAGAAGAAGAAGAAGAAGAAGAAGAAGAAGAAGGAGAAGGAGAAGGAGAAGAAGAAGAACGGGGGGGGGGGGAGAAGAAGAAGAAACTGTTTTTCCATTGTAAATATACAAGTAAACAAACTGACATCCCAGAATTCCCCCACCCCCCCCCCCTTTCCATTGCAGGTGATCGGCATGCAGAAACGAAACCGTCTGATCGAGGAGCTTCTCTACGACCTACTGTACGCCTCTTGGACCCCCTGGGGCCCCTGCTCTCGCTCGTGCCGGCAGAGACGTCAGAGGAAGTGCAAGTACAAGGCCATATGTATCAGGTCATACATTCAGGTATGTCCTTTGTTTCCCTAGGTATCATTGTCCCTCGTGTAGCTTCTGAGGGCTGTGTTAGCATTTGTTTCCTTAAGTGTGAAACGGTAAAATGTTTTAAATTTTTAAGTTTATATAATATATATATATATATACACACACACACAAACACACACACACACAACTGGCATGCCTTATTATTTGTTCAGAATTAAAAAGCTTGTGTCCATCAGTTACATCAACGGTGAAGCTTTTTTGTGTGTTTTGGCTGCTCAGTTTGTTACAAAGCTGTTGTGGCGGACTCCGCTTGTGAAATTATTATCTAGAAGCACTAATTTTGATGTCCTCAATGCATGTAGTTTTGAAGTCTTCAAAGAAAAGCCTTTAAAAAAAAATCTAAACTCAACGCAAATCTTCCCCGTTGTGAATTTGAACAAAGAAGATAAAAAACAATAGCTTGCACAGTTTATTGCGTGGAATATTTCGCTGTATCTCGTCAGGTGCACACTTCAGTACAGTTACATCAGTGAAGCAAAAAAGTGAATCCTTTATAACTGAAGTACACATTCAACAACAATCGAACGCAGCTGCCTGTTTTACCAGGGCGGCCGCAGTGTCAGAATCATGTCTTTTTGTTTACAGAGTTCAGGGCGGAGGTAACGAACCACTGCGACTTCAAGAAATCTTAGCCTCCTGCCATTGTCGGACGTATGAATGATATGAAGTGCGTTGTTCTTGGATACGGCGTGTCCACATTTTAAAAGATGGCATGCTATTGCGGAAGGGTGGTCTTTACGACCGGTATTCTCAATTTGATTTTCACTCTGCATTGTCTTTTCCGCCCATATTGGAAAATGCTCAGCGACATGTTTCTCCAGGCGTTGGTCAGTTCTTCCCACATAAAAAGCTTCACAACTGCATTCAAATTGATAGATACAATTTGATTTGATGGATGTAGACTTGTTTTGTCGGAACTCTCAAGCAAATGTTAGTATCTAATGGATATCCAATTAGGTTTATTTAGCGCCATTGCCAACCTCCTAAACCAATTACTACACGTCAGTCCTGAAAACATATAAGCCTGGAAGCGACCTCTGCCACAAGGGAAATTGTATGACTTCAGTTTGGGCGATGCATGGGTCTCTTTCCCAGATACACACCCACCTACACACAGAGACAGTCTCACATCTACACAAGAACACAAACACACACACACACACTTAAATAATACTGATACAGAAGCTCACACAGCCACACACCTAGAAACACATACACACACATGCATATAAACACATACATAATATCTCGTTCTCTTTCTCTCTCTGTCTCTGTCTCTCTGTCTCTCTCTCTCACACACACACACACACACGCGCACACACAGCAGCCAAGACACACACGTCAACAAACAGCCATGCACACTCCTGATTCACTTTAAAAAAGACCAATTGTCACGCCATTAGCGCTCCAGGCATATGATGTTAGGCCCATATTATTATTAGAGCAGTCGGTGCACAGTGGGGGATGTGGTCAGCATGACACCGGGTCGTTTTTATGTCCCAGGACATTTCCTGGTACCCAGTGAAAACTGGGTCGACCTGAGAGCCAACACCAGATTGGAAACAAATCTGCCTTGGGTATTCGGTGCTCATTTGGATAATCAGGTAATCACACAAAATTTCCATTTAGCGGACACCCACACAAACACACTCACACACGGACACATTCCATTTTCGTCTAAACCATTGTTTCCCAACGTGGGGCTCACGTGTGGGGACACGTGAGGAAAGGGTGAGGGACACGCGAGGAAAGGGTGAGGGACGCAATTAAAAAATGGCCTCGTCCAGAGTTTAGATTAGTTAGTCTCTCCAGATCCCACCAATATACACACTAGCTCACTTCTGACTGGTAGTTCTGAGCCCCGTGGCCTTCGCACACGGTTACTGGGATGTTCCGCATTGCCGTTTATATCGTGTGTTGTATATTTCAGCATGCTAGCGTTTACAACACTCCAAAAAAACATGGACAAACTTGGTCTAACACAACACCCCTAGAGAGTGGTGCAGCCTATGTCACAGGCATTCTCTTTCTTGGAATGAAAACAAAAATCCAAGACATCACAGAAATCAAACAACAGAGCGGGAATACCCGTAACCTTCATCA